GGTCGTATGATAAAGGTTGTCCTAGGCTACTCTGCTCGTATTGCACAGGTTTTTTATAAGCTGTGGTCGTATGATAAAGGTTGTCCTAGGCTACTGTGCTCGTATTACACAGGTGCTTTATAAGCTGTGGTCGTATAACAAAGGTTTTACTAGGCTACACTGGTCGTATTACGCAGGTGTTTTATAAGCTGTGGTCATATAACAAAGGTTTTACTAGGCTACACTGGTCGTATTACGCAGGTGTTTTATAAGCTGTGGTCGTATAACAAAGGTTTTACTAGGCTACATTGGTCGTATTACACAGGTGTTTTATACGTTCTTGTTACCTTGCAGGCAGACTCAACAATCTTTTAACAGACGAGGACGGCGAGGTACCACAGGCGGTGCATGTACATGTTGACGTTTCCCTACCCGGTACCCCCTTAGGAAGTGATAACAGTGTCCACAGTGGATGTAGTAACAAAAGTAACGTRTCTGCCTCAGCGTCAACAGCAACACCTACATGTGTACGACTAGAGGAGGAGGTCCAACAAATACCTCATTCCCACAAAGAATTGTGGAACGAGGAAAACCCATAATCCCTTGCACCACTCGTACAACTTGGAAAAGGCGAAATCTCTAATTTTTTCTAACCTTTCAAGGTTCATTTCCTTATATTCTTCTATTAAGTTGGCTCTCGAGATTTAATAACCGTTGCCTGATGTTAGCTTCATTATATCGAATTTGAGTTTTGGCGGGAAAATCAACGCGTTTGCACCGAAATGTAATTAAAATCGATGCGGAAGTTACGTCAGAGACCTGAAAGTCGAACGAAACTTGGAGCAAGACTGCTACACACAGCTGTACAATAGGCGAAGGGATTCAAGCGTTTTTTTAAATAAGGGGACTAATTTAACTAAAATACCGACACTAAATGTCGTTTAAAGTGCCATTAGTTAGAAATGCAACAAAACAAAGCCGTATGTTATCACTGATAACCAGATAAAACGAACTAATCCATTTTCTATTGCTAAAGATTTTCATTCATTTGATTTTCATATACTAAGTTCGTTTTCACTCGTTCACAATAACGCGCGCGCGAAATCGCACAGTTCGCATTCACAACACAATAGAGCTTTTAAGTTGTGACGTATTTCCGGGTGAATCTACTCGCATAGACCGCCAAAACATAGGGAAAATGGATTAGAACTCTGGACAACAAATCCTGCCATGAAGAAAATGTAAGAAAAAACCTTCATAAAACCCTCCCTGCTTCTTGTTTTGGACCCGGAATTCGTTTTATACAAGTGACGTCATACTTAAAAGCTCTATAGGGTTTTGATGGACGGCAATCGAAGTGCTTTTACGTCGGAAAACGCAAGTTTTCAAGTGCACGTGCATATGGGATGTCATGAAAATGGCTTGATTGACGTCCCCAAAACCTGCTATTTGTTTTGACGACGATACTCCGCGTGTTATCGTGACCAGTTTGAAGCTTTTGCGTAATACTCTGTCTCATGGTTTCTTTGGTTCAGTCAACTGAGCTTCGCCCTACGCCAGGCCGTGAATATTCGAACGCCGTCCTTTACTGGTCGACGTCAGATGGACCGCTCATGAGAGAACGAGACTGTAGGTTTCGAAGGATGCAGAATTTTTGGCGTGAACCAGGGAAATCATAAAAATAGAATTAATTGTAAATATGTAAATTATTAAATTCCAAATCATATAATCCAACGACGAAGGCATAATGCCATTCAAGTGTACATGCGGATGAGACACAGGAAACCCACGCTCCGTAATGTTGACGAGAAGCCGAAAATAAGAGAAATGCTCTTAGATTTGATAGCATTTTCAAATATATATAGTGTTTCCACGCCAAAAACTTCAGTTTCAATAATATACAACAACAAAACGAAAAAAAAAATCGTAACATAAATATTGCAATTTATAATTATATTGATTGCTTGTTAATAAAAATGTATGCTGAGTGAGAATTGAATCGGTCAGAAAAATATTGTAGGAAACATTTCTTAGGCCTCGTCCACGCGCATCCGGAAACTTTTGTATCCGCAATTTTTTTTTTTTTTTTTGCGGATACGGGTTGCGTCCACACATGTCCGGAAATTTATGTATCCGTATCCGGAAATTTTCGAAAACGGTCTCCAGAGTGGAAATTTTCGAATACGCTCCGAATACGGACACGTGAGGACGGTCGTATCCGCAAATTTTCGAATACGATGACGTAAACACGATTTTGCGCATGCTCAATAAGAAAAACTATCCGTTAAAGGGATGGATCATGAAATTTCCGGATACGTGTGGATAGTGAAAACGATTCGAATACGCTGCGTGTGGACGCGAACATTTTCGTATCCGAAAAAAATATTTGCGGATACGTGTGGACGGGGCCTTAAACTTTTAGATGGATTCAGCCAAGAACCTATCAAGTGCGGCGAAGTGTCGCGACGCTGCGACGCATAAGATTGGGGGACTGAATTCGAGAAAACGTCATTCTCGTACCCAGACCTTTATCATAAGTCATAGGCCCAATCAGTGAAATGACAAAGATTTGGGTACGAGAATGCAAGTGCTCCTTTCTTGAGCTTTATTCGTTGTAGCATAGTAAACTTATACTTATAGTAACCATACTAACTTTCCAGCTAGTTTCAATTTGATTTTTCTGTCCGTGATAGACCACTGTCTTACTATATTAGTATCCCTCTTATCTTTCACAATAGTACACAATAGTACGCATTAAACATTAAAGGATTGAAACTAGTAGGAAATGGGAATATTTAAGATTCGAGATACTTGTAACTATAGAAACATCCTCGGGAACCCAGGATTTAAATTCTGTCGCTCTTTTCTCTGACAGAAGGCGGGAAATCCTCGTTTCTCGGGAAACGAGTGACGAAATGTTACTCCTATATTCCCGGCCCGAGGATGCCATTAACAAAAAAGAAAAAAAAAATCTCCTACTAGCTCAATAATCGCGATACACGCCTCATCCTTCCATCAAAGACAGACAAACTGAGTTCATATTTCAATATTTAGATCGATGTATGTCCTATTTAATAGTTTGTAGTGACACGTTCCTATCTATGTACACGTTTAATAATTTATTTGGATGGATAAACGAATATACTAGCAAATTAACTGAAATATTTATAATACAAGTTTCGCTTGTTCGCCATAAACCTCAGTCCCACCATTAACCTTTGTTTATCTTTCTTCCTTTCAAAACCCTTAGGAAATGGGTATTTACTTGTCAGAGAATAAACCTCAAATCTTTTGATAATGGTTCGTGTCGACGAAAAAACGGGAGACAATGACAACGATCTTTACAAAAGTAAGACTTAATTGCGTAGCTGCGAAGACAAAAGTGATTGGATTACGGTATATAGTGATTGGAGGTGGAGTATAGTATATTGTATCAAGCAATTTTATTTCCAGTTCTAATTAAGTAATGTGTTTTGAAGTAATCGCACCGGTGATTTAGAAATTGAAAAACACCAGAGAAAATTTATTTGGAAAACATGGCAAATTCACCCAAATCACTCGAAATTCTGAAAGAAAATCAGAATTCGAAACCAAAAAAAGATACTTTAGAAAACACTGTAGCAAGTGAAGATGATTTGGATGATATTCTCAGAGACGTGAAGAAAATACAAGCGAACGCCTGCTGCAAAGACAAACCAAGAATTGAGTTTACTCAAGAAGACGAAAAGGATTTAGATCAAATTTTCGAAGACGCTGAAAGACGCAAGAAAGAAATTAAAGAATTATTAGATGCCGCTAAAAATTGCGGTAGTAGCGATAACAGTGATGACGATGATGGCACTAGCTCAAAATCGTCGAGTACTTCGGACGATTCGAGTGATTCCGATGTGGACCGTTTGCTTGACCATGTAGAAACCGAAGATGTACTTGAAATGAGTAGGAAGGCAACTAGTCGACAAGACGAAGAAATGGATAAAATTCTAGAGGAAGTTAAACAGACCGAAAGTGAAGCTGATTTCAAGAGGTAAAAACGAAAACATTTTTCGGAGAACTTAATAAAAACTATGGCATGTGGCCGCCCGATTTCGGGACAAGAATGTTTGAATGTTCGACAGAAATACTTAGCTTACAAGGTGCATTGTAAGTGTAAATAGTGTTCAAAGACTCCAGTCCAACCTTTAAAGAGCCAGACTAGTGTGTTGATCCCCGCATTGGTGGTTTAAAATTAATGTGAAAACTTTACCTGTCTTGCAAATACACCTGCTGTATTGACAGCACTTTATATACTAAGAGTTTGCATTCTCTATCTAATAATAATAAAAAAGTCCAAGTTTCAAATATGAAGGCCTTCATAGTACCTAGTAATTTCGTTCCTTCAACCTTCAAAAACCTTTAATTTTTAGCGTTCAGTTGAATATTAATTCTTGGGCCAATCGTCAGTGTTGAACCCATTCCACACCTTCGGCTAATCACAGGATCAAACTGGAATTTAGCTTATATTTGTTTCCCAATTCAGTTGTCTAAACCTAACATTAGTTTTGTTGCATGAGGCGATCTTTTATGTGCGGAATCAAAAGAGGCCGATAATTGTTCGCCTGCACGCTTCGCAGTAAAGTTTTCAAGTTCAATAACAGACGCATTTGATTGTCTCACTTTGTGCCTTAGAAAAACATTACGCATCGCTTGACGTAAATCTACTCTCAAGGACGAGTAAATAAGAGGATTTGCAAACGACGACGCATGCACGACCCAGGCTCCAGCTGACAGAATTCCTGTGGAGAGCTTGAGTCCCATAAAGACGAGTGACCTGGTGACTACATACGGGGTCCAACATACGAGGAAGACAAAGACGATTGTGATGGAAACTTTGGCTAGTTTAAATTCAATTTTTGCTGGAAAAAAAGACGAACCTGGTTAACAATTTTGCGAAGAAAAAAATTCCCCTTGCATTACAATACTTGCAAAGTTAATTCTTAAACAATAAAAAGACACGTATAGCGGATTAATGATGCTGCATCCATGGATTGGTTACAGATGGTGCATCCACGGATTTATGGATTGGTCGGTGGATGGTGCATCAATGGACTGATTGGTCGATGGTGCATCAATGGACTGATTGGTGGATGGTGCATCAATGGATTGATTGGTGGATGGTGCATCAATGGA